CAATTTAGTGCAACAAATTTTGTCCACTTCAGCAGAGCTGACAAATTGTTATCTCCAATAACAGCAGTCGACTAATAATACCAAGTAGCTGTTATTTAGATTTTGGTATTCGAGACGGTTTATTGTTCACTGAATTCTGAGACGTCTTTGATTGTTTCTGAAAAACAAATTGCACAAAATTTGTTATCAGTAAAACAAAAAAAATAAAAATAATAAAAATAAAAATTCTTCTATTTATCAACTAAACAGCTGATTTGTCAATTAATGAAAACAATTTACGACGTCTGAAATGTAAGCAGACAACTATAATAACCCATTTGCTGCTAATATTGCTGTGTTTTACCAAAATTAAACTAGAAACATTTGAAATAGGCTATTTGACTAACAATAAATCTGATCGTTTCAAGGAAAAATTCCTGCAAAAAAAGTCTTAAATAAAAAATTGATATAAAGTAATACTTTCATTTTTTTCTGGCTAATAATTGTTGTTTAGCAAGTCTGGTAATTGTTTCTGTGTCAATTTTTGTTCATATTTCCTTGATTATAACATTTTCATGGTACAGTGCACAAACGATTATGGAAAGAAACGCAATTTTTCATGTAAACAATTTGGCTTTTTCCAATACTGTTAAAAATATTTTACTTCCGTTAAGTGGTCAATCAACGCATAACTTGAATTCCAGTATTATGAAACATTTTCTTCCAATCATTTTGTCGTCTTTAGACTCCTGCTATTTCAGTAATTACATTTAAAAGAAAAAAGCATTAAAAAATTTTATGCCGCTTAACTTAAATCTGTCAACAACAGTGGTTTAGAGGACAAATTAAAATTGTTGACTTATGATACTGTTTACGTAATATCAGTATAATAGGCTTAAACTGCTGTTCAAAAACTTACAACAGTTTAATTCTGCCTCCTTCTTCTAGTTGAAACCAGAGAAGGCAAGTATTATTTACAGCAATCTCCTCCTCTATTGAATAAGAATCAGCTAGTTTCTATGGCATTATCGTTTCTCCGTTTGAAAAGTTTTTGCCAGATACTGGCGGTAAAAACAGGTAGTGAAAAATTTTACCTCAAAGTTGATTCTAAAGCAAATAATCGTTAATTTTCTGTGCCAGAAAATCAGAAAATAATACCTTTTAAGAAGCAAAACCAACGCTTTTTTATTTACTTTGAATATTTTTGTTTCTTAAAGTTGAAAAATTGGCACAGATAAAGCTACCACTATACATTTGCACCCGTTCACCGCACTGGCAAATCAGCAAGATTAAGTACGATAAACTGTACTTTTTCCTCTCCTGTGCTTTTTCCAGATGAATTTTCCGAAGATGCAGTTTGACGTTTTCCTCGTGAACTTTTCGAAGAACTGTCATCTCGAGAAAGTGAAGCAGACAGTTGATGTACTCGATTCACCAAATCTTCGTATTCACCAGCTCTAAACCAGTGTTTTTAAAAGATTATACCAAAAATATGTGCTACGTACTTTGATCTAAACAAAAATATCCTTTGATTAAACTTTTTATTATCAAATTTGAGCAAAAGAAAAAAGAAAAATAAAGGATAATTTTGGCTTCATCCAACCTCTCATGCTGCAGTGCAGTTTCCAGTTCGAGTTTCTCCAAAACTTTTCTGTAATGTTCACTGACTGTTTCATACTCGTCTCTCATCCGTTCGAATTCTTCATCTTTTTTACGAAGCTAAATACGACACGTTGAGCAAATCTGAGCAGTTTTTTAAAATTTCTGATTATCAAAATAATCACACTGTAAACTATCATAAACTGTGAAGAAGTTAATGCACAACAGGAGAATTCAGATGTTGCTTAACAGGTTCATTATAGATAGTTCGAAAATGACCTTGGTCACTTAACAAAGTTGGTTTTCTTCAGGATCCCCTGCTTTCTTGGTGAGACTATATTAGATCAGACATTGTTAAACTGAGATTATAAATCCATAGTTAATGATTATTATTTAACAAATAATCAAGTTTTAATTTTGTGATAAATGTTAAAATGAAACTTCAACTTCAAGCAATCTACCCAATGTTCAAAAGCAGAACGGCTTATAATATTCGACATTCAAAAAAGTAGTCTTTAAGTTTTGTTCTTATCAACTACGTTATAAAACCAATAACGCTACGTAAACTTTCTTCATTTTCTGCCTGTTTAGTAAACAAATCCCATAACTGCTTTTCTAGGTTTTTCCAACAGTATTAGTTCTGTGCAAGCTTTGAAACAGAGCAAATCAAAGTGCGAGATACCTTATTTTGTAACTCTTCACATCGGTCACTAAGTGTGAGCTTGTCTTGCCGGAGAAGCTTATTTTCGTTTGAAAGAGACGAAGATAAAGTTTGAAGACCTTCCAGTTCCTTTTGTGTTCGATGGTGCCATTGTCCTACCTCCTCCTCCTTCTTTCTGTACTCGTCGAACTAAAGTACGTTCAAACTGCTCCTTCAACATCCCTGGCAATTGTCCAATAAAAAAAAAGCACAAAAAGACTGTAGCGAAACAATAAGCCTTGCTCAACGTCAATCACAGAGACGATGAGTTAAGCACGTTTTTCACAATAATATTTCAATTCGGTGTAATTCTGTAATATTTTTATCTTATACCCTGACAGTGTTAAGTGACTTTATGCTGTAATCACACCAACCAAATAATATTCAATTATTTGGCAGACAGTTTACGTCACAATTAAACGTCCATTTATATCTCCTTTGGCAAAAACTT